CTGATGAGGGGCTATCCATCAGGTCAACCCCCCACCCCCAAACAAAAAAAAAAAAAAAAAAAAAAAAAAACCCCCACCCAAGCCACTACAATTTTGGAATGCACCTAGTAGCATGACATTTATTAGGAATAAAGACTTCCTAGTTCTGGTGCATTTCTGCATGCAGGGGTCATTATGTTACTGCTGTGCGGTGTCTAGTTCAAATTGCTTTTATGTGGACCAGCTATAAGTGTGCAGTTCCCAGGAGCCCCTGGAGGTTTGCTGACTCCAGATAAGTGGCGTTGTGTCAGGGAGATCAGACAACCACCCCCCCTCCAACGTCAGACGTTTATCTGTAACCCTCATTAGCGTCCAGCACCCCATCGTTAGAGAATGCATTGATCTTAACAGTTTTTACGGCTTATGTACTTGGCATTGCAGGACTTCAGCATTTTCTGACCAGGCAGATGTCTGGTGGAGATAAAGTTAGCTGACCTCTGGGCTCTGATGAGTGCCTGACCTTTTTTTTTCCCAAGGAAACATAGAGACTCATGAGGGCCACAGGTCTTCAGCTGTTTTAAAAGAATGTTTAGTTCTATATATTTGTCCTTGTGTTTTTGATGAGAAGTACTGGGATGTTAACTGGAATATTTAGTTCATTTCGATTGTACTAAAGCTAAAAAAGAAATGAATATAAGAGAGAGATAGTTTCTCTCTTGTTTGACAGAAGGATTTAGACATTTGAAGCTGTGTAATTTATGTGCCACCAGTTGTTACAGACTGTGTTTGTGAAGTGTAAGTTTTGGAGAATGAGCCAGTAGCATCCATCTCACTAATGACCAGAGGTGACACATTTCAGCCTCAGGAGAGGGCCAGGTGTGGGGCAAAAATAGAAGCTAACTTGAAGCAAACGTCTGGCCCCATTTTCAGCACAAAAAAAGGAGCTGCATTAGAAATACAGTTACAGCTAACGTTAATAGGAATGGTCCTCTTGTGTCTTTTGTCGCTCTCCAGGATGGACGTATAGAGTTTTCAGAGTTCATCCAGGCCTTGTCAGTGACCTCTCGCGGGACTCTGGATGAGAAGCTCAGATGTAAGAAGACACTTCGTGTGTGTGTAAAATTTTGTTTTAATTGTCGTGTTAAATAAAGAAGAGGACAGGTGTTCTCTGAACAACAGATTCCTACTCAGATGGTGAATGAACAGGTTTTTTTAAAGTAGAAGATTTTGAGAAAAAGTGACTACAACAAAGAGACCAGCATTCAAATCCCCAAAAGCATCACTTGCATATTTTGAAATCACAGTATATAAATACTTTCCGTATTCAAAGTGATGCTCACAAAGACAAGTAAACATTCCCTGTGTTGCTGTGAAACTGCTGTATTTGAATGTTTTCTCTCTTTAAGGGGCTTTTAAGCTGTACGATCTTGACAATGATGGCTACATAACTCGTGATGAAATGTTAAACATTGTAGACGCAATATATCAGATGGTGGTAAGTTTTGCAGTTCGTCTTATTTATCATTCCAGATTGCTCGAATGGTCTCACTTGTAAACATGTGATATTTTAGGGGAACACCGTGGAACTGCCAGAGGAGGAAAACACTCCAGAAAAGAGAGTGGACCGTATTTTTGCTATGATGGACAAGGTGAGTAAATATCAAAAGACTAATGTGACAAAGACAAGTTTGCATTTCCTGTGAAAATGCAGTGTGAATGCTTAATGTCAAAAGATTTTGGCTGAAAGCTGCTGAAGTCAAGATGAAAGGTTTAATAGCGAAACTCTAATGTGAGTTATGTTTGAACAGCTGAAAGTACAGAAACAAAAGTGAAAAATCTGTAGAAAAATAGCAAAATGCCTGAAGAGAGCAGGCATAAAGTTAGCATAAAATAGTAAATATTTGCAAAAATACAGCTTAAAAAGTTGAAACTACCAGAGAGAAATTACAAGAAGCACAGATAGGTGACTACACAAACAAAATATTTTAATAAAAGAATAAAGCCGAAGTTTAAATAAACGAATGAAAAACATACAGAAAAATTATCAGCATGTGACCTTAAACTTTTTTGTGACCTTGAAATTAACGTTTCCTCATTGAAGCAGTAAAAAGCTAAAATGATCACAATAAGGAGAATTTAGCTAAAATAGCTGAAAAGTTAGCTAAAAAAGATCATTTGCAGAAAAGAAACTGAAGGAGTTTGCTGAATTAAGCCAAAATGTTAAAAAGACCACCTAAACATAAAGTTAGCGGATGCAAAATTTAACAAAAAACAGCTAAAAAGAAGAAGATGAAATGTGCATAAAATGTTTAAATTAACAGTAAAAAGTAAAAAGAAGCACATCAAAGTTGATATTAGCAGAAAAAAGTTGACAAATAGCTGAAAATGCTGAAAACAGCTAGAATGAGCAACAAAGACGCTGAAATTAGCACAAAGAAGTTAGAATAAAGCTGAAAAAGAACAATATATATAAAAATACAGTAAATATTTCTGAACATTTTGAAGCATTTTAAGGAGGCTGAAGGCAGCTCTATTCATTTTCAGTCTTTAAATAAATGCTAAAAGGCTACATATCTCAAAAAGTATGATACCAAAAGTCATAGTGAGAATGTCCTGAGATGAAAGTTTTGATATAAACTTTTAGCAGTAAACTTGAGGAACTAGATACATGCCAAAATATATGGAAGAAAAATGGATAATCTCAGTTGTTTAAATGTTTTATAAGCATTCATACAATAATAATATGAATGTAGCACTATAATTATTAGATTCTCATTTATAGGACGGAGTCTGCCTTTGTTGCCACCCTTGAGGCTTTTAAATGGACACTGTTAAGTTTAGAGCTGTTATCTGTTCCAACCTTAGTGTCACTAATACCTCCTACAGTCTATAAACGTCATTTATAACCCCCTTAAGCACAAACCCCTTAGAGCCCACTCTACCAGCACTGAGTTTCTGCTCAGCTTTAGTAAAACATGATACAGTATACAGGCTGGATTGGTGTGTTTATTAGCTCACCGCTGCCAGGACCAGCTCACAGATCTGACTGTGCAGCACTCTGTGATTTGTATGAGAGCAGTGACTGTCCAATTTCTCTGAACTAAAAATCCGTTTACAGGCCTAAAACAGGGCCAGCCCGAACCCGAGTGCCTCCTTCTCCCCCTGCTGGTATTTCTAAGTGAAACTTGACAGATTCAGTTTCATTCTGTTTCGCCTTGCAGAATGCAGACGGGAAGCTGACTCTGCAGGAGTTTCAGGAAGGTTCCAAGGCTGACCCCTCTATTGTTCAAGCGCTGTCGCTCTATGATGGACTTGTGTAGCAATGTAAGGTGAGTCGGGGGGATAATTAGCTAGAAAACACATGCACACTGCTCACTTTGAAATTACTCTTTATTCCCAAGTCATGCTTCAGTTCTATGTTAATGCTGTAATTCTTATTTTAGCAGAGTAAAGAATAAAAAAAAAACTATCTTCTGGCTGAAATTAAAGTGTGGAAGCCACTTTGCGCTCTCAGTTTGTTTCCATGAATTATTCAAATGTCCCACTTGTTTACTGGCAGTATAATAGTCTTGCAGTGCTGGGTGGAGAGCGAAACAGCCCCACAGTCTCACTGCCTAATGTAATGCACAGGCTGCTGCCAATTGTTGCTGACATCCTGCTCAGTGTTCTGTCAACTATGAAGTGAGCTTGTGAAAACATACTGTATTTGTTCATATTGATACTCTGTTTAATGACGAACCCACCCAGGCATCTTGACACTGCTCACTGCCATCAGTCCACACGATAATCCGTCTTGTAACTTCTCAGATGGGTCCAGCTCAGCATCCTCCTGCCCGTTAGACGCCAACGCAGCACCATCACATCCGTAACAGGAGGAGGCATCATTTAACCTGATCACCCAGAAGAGGACTACATCTATGAAGTCCAGATGTGTCAAGTAGCTGCTCATCTACATTTCTATTAAGGATAGTTGGGGGGAAAAAAAACAGCATCTCTGATGTTACATTAAATTTAAACGTGCCAGTAAGAACCCCCCCCCACATCATCTGTCAGTGCTTCTACAGCTGTGTAGCACCGTGCACACTCCTGAGTGTTGTGGAAAATATCTGAACAGCTCTGCAAGCGCAACCTTGGACTCCTCCCATGGACAATCTGAGGAACAGAATTCCTGCTACGGCGTTGGCGTGCATCTTGTCCACATGCATCGGATGGGCCTGAAGCGCTCGGAGCAACTGTGCTTCATCACTATTATGGAGAGACTTAAGATCTCAGCCTGGATCAGTGTGTAACTGTGTGACGACATGAACAATAGCTTGAAGTTACAAAGCAGCATCCTGTACATTACATAATGTAAATACGACGGTAATTTATTTTCTGCTTTGCTGCGTTTATGAGGATTTCCTCATAAATCTGGAATGAAGTTTTATTTTTATCAAACGCGTTGAAATGTTTTGCACTGTATTTTTCATTCCTATTATTATTAATGTTGGATAGTTTCTTTCTCACAACCAGTTTTGTTCAAAAACGAATGTTTAAGTAGCACGTTTTTCCAGAGATTATTTTTCTCTCCTTTGCCATTCTGGGCTCCCTGTTGTGTTTTTTTCCCTCTCCCCTGTTAGCATGTTTGTTGGCTGTTGCACAATTATATCCTGAATGACACGTCCGAGCAACACAGCAAATTCTTACAGCTTTACATTTGAGTCAGGGCTTTTAGTATTTCTTTTGAGAGTGTCACCCTCCACCCTCAGAACAAAACCCTGGTTACTGAGAGGCACAAGTCATCAGTTGTGGCTGTAAAACTTTTGCGAGCTCAGTTGTTGCAATTGTCTGCTTGATCCAGTATTTGTCCAGTGTGAGACCAGAGCATGTAACGATGCCTTTTTTTCATACGTAGATGATTTATTTTTGTGCATTTAGATGTTTTATCAGCTTCCTTTCTGTTTTACGCCTTATGCAAGGTATGATTTACTAAATTATCCATGTCATTTATCAGTTTAGTATAAGAGCACAGAATAAAATGCATTTAAATGGCTAATTATTCTGTAACTGTATTTTAGTCTCATGAATAGAAATGTTTTTTTTAATTACAGTATTTTGAATCATTTGAAGAAGCTGCTTTGTAGAACGATTGTCGTTCAGATGTTTGTAGAATTTTCAATTCCCCTGTTGAAAATCTCACCTTGAGTAAAAAACCTCAGATTGCACAGGTTGTTGTTGAAATAGGATCTGTTTCAGGTCCTTGATTGCACCGCGGTGCTGCACTAAAAGAGAAAGGAGCCTTGTGCCTGGAATTCTTTGCAAAACAGAATCTAACTCAGTCTGTGGTGCAAAGCCTGCACAGCACGGCTGAGTAATGAACAATGAACTGTACAAAAACTGTGATGTGTTGCCATTAATGAGTGAGGTAATGAGTTTGCAGGGCTTACAGCATGTCCTCAAAGTTTTTATTTTATTCTCATTGAGCACAGATGGAAGTGATAACAGACGTGGGGGACTTGTCTTTGACCGGAGACTGTTGTGTCCTTTACATTCTTGATTTTTTTTTTTTTTTTTTGTATCTGCAGCATGTGTCATAAAAAGTGCAGTAAAAACACAAGTGTACTTCGAAGTCAGCCATCATCTTGTTCTAACATTATTTCTGCATCTTTCTTTTTTGGAACAAATCATGTGGTCCTATAAATATACTAATCTGTTTAGTTTTCTACAAGAAGTGTCATTTTTAGAAACAACTTTCTGACACAGCTGATGTGCAACATTTCTGTCCACATGGGCAAAAATCACACAGGTTCAGTGGTTATTATTATTATTATTATTATTTTCATCCTGAGCTCCATTACACTCTAAAAATGAAATGTTGGATTTACTTAACCATGTTATGTTACCTGGTTCCACTTTACTGAGTTGAATAAATTCTAAGCAACATACTCATGTTCTTTGGCTAAAAAACTGGTACATTGCTTTGAATTTACTCAACTCAGTTAAGTGGAACCAGGTCACATAACATGGTTAAGTAAATCCAACATTTCATTTTTTACAGTGTATAAAATTAGACAGGTGCCATGCTGAATATAAACTGGTTATTTTTAAAGAGCCTGTCACTAAGACAATATTCACGGCGCGTCCATGACTTCAGACCCACTTCCAGTGTGCAGAAAGTTGTTTAAAACTGAGTCACAAGGGGCTCAACCGGAATTACGGGGGAAATTAACGTGAATGGGGAGGGGGGGCGATGTTGGAGTGTGTTTAACTCGTAGTCATAGTGGGGTCGAGTTACACATTCATACAAAAAAAAAAAAAAAAGCAGGTTGGGTCTTGGGAACCTTTTAATACCCATCTCCGCCCCCGTTTGGAGCGTCAGAGCAGCAGCCCTCCTGGGGTCCTCCAGCGCAGAGCCAGTCCACGCGCTCCTCCAAACTTTTACGCACGGATCCTCTCCTGTTTCAACGCGATTCTGATGCGCCTCAATTGATCCGTAGTTCCAAAATTGAAACGCTTTTGCATGCACCTGAAGAAGCCACAGAGTCTTTTGGGTAGCTTTGAATTTTAAAACTTCCCCCCCTTTATTTATTGTTTTTTTTTATGTGATTCACTTTACATCCGCACTCAGATGCAGTAAACGTAATTAGGGTGGGAAAATGGCCGGTGCCTTATTGAAGTGCCTTGTCTTGGCAATCCTGATCAGCGAGCACAGGCTCCTGGCAGACCCCTTGTTGCCCCCACGGATCGAGGAAGGCGAAGAATCCGCTGACAGCGCTTCCACTCTGGCGTTCGTGTTCGATGTAACCGGCTCCATGTACGACGATCTGAAACAGGTGATCGAGGGAGCCTCGCGGATCCTGGAGAAGACCCTCAGCAGGAGGACCAGACCCATCAAAAACTTTGTCCTGGTTCCCTTTCACGACCCAGGTACTGTGTAACCAAAAGCAACATTCAGTTTGTTCTCTAAAAGCTGAGGATGCACTTTTGTGATTTTGTGAATGAATTTATGAGGTTTCTAAATTTATTTATATAAACTTCTGGATAGTCAAGTCAAAATAGTTTATTTATTTATTTGACTGAACTTTGCAGTTCACTTTCCACCTTAGTTGACATTTTCTGTCACTCTTGGTTACAGTTTTTTTTCTCCTTGAGAAAAATCACAGAAACAGCAACACATGAGAAGTGTTGCACATGGTGCTGCTTAGCAGTTTCTAGTGAGGTCCAGTCTTCATGGGGCAACACAATACCCTCTACACCACCACACACACACACAGTGGGGGAAAGAGAAGATCTGTTGTTAAGATTTTAACTTTGGGAGCTTGAATAACAGGTAAGCGCCTGTCCAGTTTAGAAACACTTCAGTCTGAAAATAAGAGTACTCCAGTGCTGTTTGTGCACTGATGAGAAGCATATGGTGACTGCTTGTGTGTAATTACCTCAATCACCCCCGTCACACACACTTCCCTTACAAACTTACCCCTCACCACTCCTTTCCTTCACCCTACGGAAAGCCCTCGCAGCCCCCTGTGTAGATGGCCTGGAGGGAAGAGGAGGTGGTGGTGGTGGGGGCCAAACACCACACATGTCTGTGTTTAATGTACCCTGCCCTTCAGGACCTTGTAAACTTCCAAGATTGCAAAGAAGCTGCTGTGGCTGGCAAACAAAAGAGACAAAATGACAGAGCTGTCAGCGTTTTACAGGCATCAAAGAAGAAGAGGAGGAGGAGGACGAGGCAGGAACTTGAAAGCCGGCTAAATTAAATCATGAATGAGCAAGAAATGTCATCAGCTTGACACATGTCTGTAAGCTCTTTATCTTTAGTCTCACAAAGATGTGTCGAAATGGTTTGCGTCAGCTGGAATAACCATCACAGATACATGGAAATCACCAGTCTCCACCCTACCTGATGAGGCTGTAAAAACTACGTTTGTTCACAACAGAACCTTATATTCACTCCTGATGTTTCCAGCTCCACTGAAGGGCCATCAAAAGATATCATGTCCAAGTCTGACCGGCTCTTTTCCATCACACTTCAGACCTGAGGAAGTCACCCACATTAAAAAAAAGTTTAAAAAATGAAGCACTGAGCACCACAGCGGAAAGTGATTATTCAGCCCCCATCCAAGCTTTGGCCACAATGCAGTGATTTGTTTCAAACAAATCCTGAACACGGAAGTGTTGTCAGCACATGTATCTTTTCTTCTGCCATGTGCAAATTAGATCCACATCTTGCACAAAAAGGCAGCAGGACATCATTCAGGTTCTGATGAATTGGGCTGTTTCTTATCAGGGGATTAGGTTTTGTAGACGCTTGTTCAGAGCCCCGAACTGAGCAGAAAAGAATAAATCTTTATTGTCACTGCAATATGTACGGCAAAATTGGATGCAGTCTGTTGAGAGGAAATCACTACATCTCCTGTTCTGATGTATGAACTCTGTTGAATTTTTAAGATGAATTAAAGCTATGTTTTGGCAGTAAATTGTTTCCTTTTGAGCAGATTTGAACTGATTTATTTAAGCAGAAAAGAGGGACTAATCCTCTTACGGTGACACGTTTGTGATGTGGACTTTTATCACCTCACAGATATCGGACCTGTATCCGTCACCACCGACCCAAAGAAGTTTCAGCAGGATCTGCGAGAGCTGTTTGTCCAGGTGGGAACGAAAACACTAAAGTTTTCGAAAGTGATCAAGTCACTAAATTCAGATAGCTCCCCTACTGTGATAGCTTAATAACAACCCCTGTAGCCTCGGGGATGAATTGGGTGATTCAAATGTTTTAATGAAGTGGAACAGCAGCACAAAATGAATAAGTCACGTTTATTTAGTAACGAATTCAAGTCTGAAAGACATATTCTTAGTAGTTTCTCATCCATCTCTTTTCCAGAAGTTCATTAGTGTTTCTTCAAATGTTTTCAGTATTAATGTATAATAAGAGCCCAAGTGTCCTTCCAACAATGACGGGCTCTGTTGCAAACTCTGCACACAAAATGCAACACAAAAGTTTTCAAAAAGCATTATTTAGAGTTCTCTCCAGAGTATGTGACTGTGTGCATTTGCAGGGTGGGGGTGACTGTCCTGAGATGAGTATAGGAGCTATAAAGAAAGCCTTGGAGGTCTCTCTGCCTGGATCCTTCATCTATGTCTTCACTGACGCCAGGGCCAAAGACTACCGGCTGAAACGAGAGGTTCTGCGCCTGGTGCAGCTCCGTCAGTCACAGGTACAAAATCAAGCCTCCCTGCTGTTGCATTTAGTAGATGTTACCAGACAGTGTTTGAAGGTCTGGACTCCAGAGATTTCCCCCAACGTTGGTACGACAAATGAAAAAGTTACCGCAGTCCAAACTGCTACCTGATGTCTGACTATCGGTAAAAACATTCACCTGAGCTATCCTCTTAACTTTCTGCTCTCTTTTTCCTAAGGTTGTGTTTGTGTTGACCGGGGACTGCGGGGACCGGTCCCAGCCTGGGTACAGAGCATACGAGGAGATTGCTGCCACGTCCTCTGGCCAAATCTTTCACCTGGACAAGCAGCAGGTTAACGAGGTGAGACAGTGGGCTTCAATGCAATTAGTTATAATAAAATCATGTTAAGTCCACAAATAATTAATAAAACCCTTACAATACATGGTATGTATCTGTTAAAATGAATGAATTACAGATAAAGTTAAAGATGAAAGTTTTTAATGTAACTGCAATTTGTGATTTGCTGTTCTGTGCAAAATATTTGCACATGCAAGAATTTAATTCTAACAGATAATGTTACCTTAACTAAGAGCTTGTTAGGACTGTGGCATTTTAAGAATTTCTGCATTTAAACAAGGTGAAGTTAAATTAAAGCTTTAATGCTTCTGCTGAATCTCAACATTCAGCAGCACAGGGTTCTTTTAAACAGCCGCCCGGCTCTTTGGAAACAAAAAGAGCTGAGCCCTAATAAAGCAGGAGAAGGATAGAAGAAAGGTGCTTTCTGGTTGCTGATCCTTCCTTGCCTTATGTAAATAAAAAAAAGACAAGGAAGAGGAAAGGTGGGGTCTGCTCTTAAAGAACCACTCAAAGGGATTTTACGAAGATAAATGAGAGCCCCTTTTTCATTGTCAAAGACCTTCTGGAGCATTTAACAGATCCTGGAGCAACTGTACACCAACCATGACCTTTAATATTATAGTCTCATAATTTTACTAGGATACATGTAAACAAGGCTGTTACACGTCCAAATGTGGGTCTTGTGGGCCATTTTGGACAAAATAGTTAAAGCTACATCAGGAGAAAAATCTATCACATAAAAGATCTCTGTGCCTTTTTGGCATCTTTTATTCACAAAACTATTTATAGCAACAGAAATTTTGACCAGGGTTGCCCAAGTTTTCCATGCCTTTGTGTATATTTCCTCAGACTGGAAAAGAACAGGAGTTCAGCAGAGCTTATTAGACAGCAGATGTGATAAAAGCATAAAAAGCTTTTTTTTTATTCAGTGTAATAATCAAACGATTTCAGCGCCGATATTAAACCTCCTGTTCATTTGATACGGTCTGTGATTCTTTTCTGTCGGAAGCGGTGTAACAGAAGCCCTGTCTCTCGGGCCAAAGACAGCAGGGCTCACTTCCCAGTCAGATATAAAAGGAGCCAGAGTTTCCTCTGATATCCTGCATGTCCACACAGGAGATGGCCGAGCAGCTAAGAGCAGGACCCAGCAGCTCTGTACACCATTGGCCCACTGAAACCCTGAACTCACATGGTTTTGTGTGTGTGTGGGTCTGTTTCCTGTCAAGTCATGCTTGCATAGAGGTATACATCACCTGTGTGTGGGGCAGCTTAGTTCATTATCACCCTGTAATCCTGCCAGCTGTTTAAAGAGAGTTTGAATGTTGTTTTTGGGATGCAGAATTAGGAGATTTGCCCTCACATCAAAACCACAGGCGGCTTTCCATTGGTTAAAGTATTTCTGCATATTCTCAACACATGTACTGTATACTCACATGTCATGTATTTAGTTGTTGTTGCTATTTTTACCTGTGTCATTACCTTTTGGTTGGTATCACTTTTAGAAACTGATAGAAACTCTTCAAACCTTCAGAATTTATACAAACCTAACAAAAATATGCTTTAATAACAGAATAAAAATGTGTTGCCAAAATAAATATACAGTCTTTTTCATATTCTCCCAAAGGACGGTGTAAAAAAACATTTGATTTTCTAATCCCATGAGTTCAAGTTAATTATAAAACATCAAAACTTATTAATTTTATTTTTCCATTGAATGATCAGATAACTAATCAAGTATTCTTTACAGGCTGTAAGATTTGCTTAAAAGATTCCTGTTTTCTCTCTCTCTACAAAGGAGCACTGTATTTGTGTAGTGCGTCGCCTTTCTGGTTTCCTCATTATGTGTATTCAGTGAGTTAAATGGGGGTGGGGGTGTAATGGTTCTCAAGCACATAATAAAATTTAGGTTAAGATTTCTCAACAGTCGTCTGCATGAGCTACCAACACAGATGCATCTCCTTCGGTGGGCTGCCTCCCTCGAGTGCAGGCCATTTCTGACAGCGAGAGCTTCTTCGTGTCGAAACTCCCGCTGAGAAGGATCAGGGCCTCCATCTGGTGCGGTCCACTCGATTTGTAGTGGGACGTTTTACACCAAATGTTTGTGGCCGCAGTGTTTAAACCTGGGTAAAGACTAAACTGACCCCTGCCTACTAGGATGTCTGGATTTAGGCTGTTTAACCACAACCAGGTACCATCATTTTCCTTCCTCATGTTGTGTCCCTGGATGAGTTAGTGGCCTTTAAAAGTACCCCAGCTTCTGCTACTTCTCCTCCTCTGACCCATCTGTCACGCTGCTATGACTAGCCGAGGGGAGTCCTTCCTGTTAGAGGTCTGTAAGCCGTTCATCTGAGACAGGCAGGATGAGGTTTCACAGGTCTTTAGATCTTCTGCTTTCCTGGTAAAACAGGGAGTGGGTCAGAGCCCAGCATGATCCTCCAGACCCACGGAGGGCTGGACAGTGAGTCGATCCATCTCTGCGTTTTGCTTCCTTTTATCTGAGCTCTGAGAGCAGAGAAGTGCCCACTCCTCTTTGCTCTCCTGTGTAAAGAATAAACATTGTCCTGGGGCAGATGTAGGACCAGTCATAGCAGTTTCCTGCTCTGCTGGTGACGGCTACACATGTGGCAGACATTACAGCTGTTTCCAGTTGTAAAACTGCTGAAGGGAACAGCTGCTGTCAGCACTCAGTGGAATTGATGTACAAAAAGTGGAGGCCTGATAATTAAATTAAAGGCTTTTCTTGTTTCGTTTTTTCGTAAACTTCCTAAAATGTGTAGCTGCTGGCCTGAAGGCACACGGATGAAACGCTTTGAGTTTGCTTCCTTGCACACACAAGTCAACCACTTTGTCTCTTCATTAGACTCAAAAGTAAAACTAGACCGCTGTTAAATGTTCAGAAGATGGAAGACATTTTGTCAGACAGGACCACTAAAATGAGACACTGAAATGATGATGACTTCTGCTGCTTTTGGTTTTGTTTCTGAGACAGAAAGAAACTGGAATTAATACCAGAAGAACGATTAAATACGTAACGTCAAGCTGTTGTCAAAACTGAAAGTCTATCTTTTCAGCCTCAAAAAGACTTAATATTTTAAGTAAAGCCTATTATTCCCATTAAGTAGGCCAATATTCAGTCTGTCTGTGGCTATTGCAGATTGTTGGTTAATCTTTGTTGGGAGTGCTGGAGTGACTAAGTGAGGCCCAATGCGTCTGACCTCATCTAGCTTCCTAAATTTAACCTGTTCCTCAGAAAAAGCAGGATGCTGCCTGCCAGTTCAGTTTCTGAATCACCTTTGATCAAAATGCTCTTTGGAAATATTCAGTTTAATGCTTATTTCTAAAACTAATCACGAACCGTCCCACCCCCACATCCCGCAATGCTTTCATTCTGAGGAACAAGCTGTGTGATTCATGGAGGCTGTGCTGCAGGAGCGGGACTACTGCCTGACAAACTTCCACTGTGAGAGACGCTCTTCTGGGAATATATGCTTGAGAGCGCAGAAAACTGTATGTTATCAGTTTGACAGCTGAGCTCTTTTGCTTGTCCTTTGTTTAGGCAGAATCTCTTCCTGGAATACTTTTGCAATGAAAGAAAAGTCTAAAGACATAAAGCAGAGAAGGGAAGATGATGGAACCTTGGAAGACAAACATTGGGCCTCATGCAAAAACATGTTCGTATTCTTGTCCTAAATTTCTCTTACTTTTGTTCGTACAAAGGGTTCGTACGAACATGTCACGTCAGATTCAACAAACTCTTCTATCTTCAGGAAAAGTGCGTAAATGAGCTGCGTAAATTCCACCTGTTCGTATCCAGCTGTTCGTGCACGCGAGAGGAGATCAGCATAATTACCACCCCAAAAACACCATATAAGACTACGTTTCCTGCCTCAGATATCATGAAAATGACAGCGAAAATTAAAAAGAAGAACTTTACGAGTTCAGAGATTGAAGTCTGTCTGTCAGAGATCCAGAAAATAAAATCTGTCATTTTTAGCAGGTCAGCTGTGGAATAAAATGAGCTGCTAATAGTATAAACAACTGTGTTAAATCATTTTCATTTATTCAGAAGCCGCACCATTGCGCACCATACCCCCCCCCCCGCGTGGGCTCCAGTGGTCTCAGTTGCGGTTCTGAAATAAGCATTTTAAAATGTTTTCAAAATATGTCTGGCACTTTGGAGAAAATCCAGGACTCACTGGAGGGATTATGCATCCCCTCTGGCCTGGGAACGTCTCGGAGTACCCCAGGACGAGCTGGAAGGTGTAGCAGGGGAGAGGGGGGTCTCTCTGCTGCTGCCACCGCACCTGATCCCAGATAAGCGGCGGAAAATGGACGAACTGACAATTTATATTGTTAGTCTAAATTATTACATTTAAAATTATAACACTAATTCAAGCAGAATAGCCTATTGTCAAGATAATCATGGAGTGTAATATATTTTCAACTCAAAATATCTTAAAACTAACGAAATATAAAGTTATTACGGAGGAAAACCCGTCTGGATAACAGCAGACTGACTGCTCGTAAAATATACGACAGGTCTGGACCACTCGTGAATTTTGTTCGTATCTGAAAAAAATCGTAGAGTACGAAAACATTGGTGAATGCCACTAATTCTCCTAAATCACTTGTATGCACAACTTAAGAACAAATCTATGCGTACGAACGGTTCTTGCATGAGGCCCATTGAGAAGAGATCGTACAAAAGTTTAGGACAGATTCTCTCAATTTGCCTCATGCACTTATTGTGTTTCCTTTTAATGGCACTTTAATGCTGTTTTTCTTCTCCTGTCAGGTTTTAAAGTGGGTAGAAGAGACGGTTCAGGCCATGAAAGTCCACCTGCTGTCTTCCAATCATGACAGTGCCCAGGAAAACAAATGGGAAGTGCCCTTTGACCCCAGCCTGAAAGAGGTCACTGTGTCACTCAGTGGTCCAGCGCCACAAATCGAGCTGAGCGACCCCCTTGGTTGTCATAGTTTTACTCTTCCCATCTTGTCTTATACACTGACAGTATCATCAATACAAAACACATCACAGTCTCTATAATGTGTTCACTGGTCTTTCCACAGGTCGGGTAGTTGGTGTTGAGCAGGGCCTTACAGAGCTGTTGAATATTCCCAACTCTGCTCGTGTCATCAACCTTAAGTTTCCCAGACCAGGAGCCTGGACACTCAAGGTACTCCACTGTAAGATAATCGATACAAATGTTATAGTTCCATCCCTGAACTCAGTTACTTTCTTTTTAAAGGTGAGCTGCAGTGGGCGTCACACCCTGAGGGTTACGGGTGTCAGCAGTTTGGACTTCCGGGCCGGCTTTTCTACTGTACCTGTCTCAGAGTTCAATTACACCAGAGAGAGGCCAGTTAAAGGTGCAGACAGATTTCTGTTAGCTTCCTCTGATTTAATAAAATATTTGTGCCGGAGATGACTTCAATGTTACCTTTCCTTGTTTCTCAGGCCTTCCAGCTCACGTTATGTTAAAATGCACAGGCCTGAAGCCGCCAGGCTTTCTGAGCCATGTGGAGCTAGTGTCCAGCTCAGGTCGCTCCTTACGCACAATTCCTGTGCCTCTGCCTTCTGACCTTGGCCAACAAGGGCTGTGGCCTCTCCCAGAGTTTCGCACACCTCCTCAGAGCTTCTTCATCAAAGTATCTGGCAATGATGACATGGGTTTCCACTTCCAGAGGCTGTCCATTGTTTCCTACAGCAACATCATTCCAGGCAGGCAACAACCACCCTCCCTGCCGATGCACCACACCAAACCCACCCCGCAACGCTTCTTACACCTCATTAATCTTTTCTGCCAACTTTAACCTTTGTGTCCTCCTTTGTGTAGATCCCCCAGTTGTGAGAATGCCTGACGTGGTGAAAGGGTTTTACATGCAGCCGGCTGTGATTGGCTGCTCCGTGCAGAGTGACATTCCCTACAGGCTGAGATTCACCAGGAGCGGGATCTCCCTGGGAGAGGAGAAACACTTTCAGTGAGTGCGCTCCACTCTGGATCATTTGGCTTGCCTTCATTACGGCTTCCGTTAGATGTTGCAGTGCCGTGCACCCATGGCCCGCTTTAGAAAACACTAATTAAGCTGCTCACCGCCCTCACCAGTGAGCTCACCTGTAAGGCATTTGTACTGCCTGAATCGTGCATTTTATTGGCTCATTTGTCAAGAAGAGGGTATACACAGTCACTTTTGTGAACATTACATCTTCGATTGTGTCATCTTGAGGAACGAACAAAGTGTTGATTCTTTCCTGCTGTTCACGATCTGCTTTGAATTACACTCATGGATTGCAACTAACTTCTGATGAAAACTATGTGCATTCACCAAAAGTATTAATTGGACTTATTGTGAAATAGGATCTTGTTACACTCCAGCCAACCACATGTGTCTTTGTGTCAGGAATTCTGCTGTAGCATCCTGGGAGATTGCACGTGCTTCAGGCGAGGACGAAGGTGCATATGAGTGCGTAGCACAGAGCAGCGTAGGACAAGGATGGGCCTTAACACAGCTAACTGTTCAAGGTATGTCAGACGCACAAATCAGTGTGAGCACACACCCTCTCGGTGGTTTAGCAGTGCACAGCACACAGTGCTGTTTCAAAGGAATCCTTTGAAATTAAGTCCAGACCGTTTTAAAATATCTTTTGTTTCATATCTAAAACATCAGCCAGATGCAGAACATGCCAGCACAAACATTAGGTTTGAAAGGTAAACTAATTGTCTTCTGTTTGCTCACTGCTGATAACAACAGTTTGATGTTTTGTTGCCATAAAAACAGAGCCTCCTCCAGTTTTAAAACCTGCAGTGAACGTGACTTCCTCTGCTGGAGGAGTGGCCGTGCTCTCCTGCCAGGTGGAGGGCTCCATGCGCCACAACCTGACCTGGCATCGGGCGGGTCGTATCATCAGGGCCCACACTGGGAGGGTGAGGCTTCTGGCCGACTCGACTCTGCAGATCAGCGGGGTTCGAACTCAGGATGCCGGAGCGTATCACTGCGTGGCCACCAACTCTCAGGGAGAGAGCAGAATCACAGTGTGGCTCCTGGTCCCAGGTACAGTAGGACGGTACGCCGCTGGTCATCTGTTTAAACATTCAACACGCCGGCATCTCGTGGCTCCTCTCAGCCCCCCGGTCATCTGGTTTCCATTACTGCCCCAACCTCCATGCAGTCACATTGAGCTACTTCCTCCACAGAAAACGATCTCATCAGGCAAAACTGACAACTGATGAAAAATGCGTCTGTTATTGTAGGCACACTCTCAGTGAGTTTTGTAAACAGCCAAAACAAAAATGTGTGGCCTGTCCTTACAGAATCATGATGTCAGACATTAGCTACTTGCTAATTGCTTCAAGCCCACTGTTCTTCATCTCATCATAGGGAAGTTATAAATGACATCATGCAGCCCTGAGTCACGGACATTGCTTTTGTTTGTTTTTTTTACTTGGGTTTGACTCCAATCGCAGAGGCTCCTACAGTAGTAGTTCACCCCCAGACCCAGGCCTTCTCCCGGGGGGATGAGATCCGCTTCGTCTGCTCGGCGTCCGGCTCCCCTCCTCCCCAGCTCATCTGGAGCCGTGGAAACATGTTCCTAACTAATCAGCTGAGGTAAGGGAACTCTCAGCCCACTCAGCACCTCTGGCAAAGAAAACTCAGAAAATCATTACAGTCCCTTTTGTATTTCATTCACAAATGCCACGTTTTGTTTGCTAGGTTTTGAAAAGTAAAATTAACTGCTGTTATCCAAACATAGAAATTTACAAAGAAAAAAAAAAGAATAAATCTCACGATAATACCCAAAAGAAAAAGAAAGTGTACATTTCAATGTGTCAAGAAACATGAATTATTTAATTTTCTGATACAGGCTGGACCTAAACCAACATGGGGTATTGATCATCAGAGGAGCCCTTCCTGAGGATTCGGGGAACTACACTTGTCTGGCGACCAATGAGGCTGGGAGTGCCTCTCAGTCTGTGTCACTAACATATGCAGGTAACACCCACAGATATCTACTGGAGCGTGCTAATGTCGAGACGAGATGTTGGCGTTTTTCTACTCAGCTTTTTAATGCCAGTCTTGGAAGGGTATCAAGATTGAGACAAGCTTTAAAGTAGAGTATAGCCACTTTCTTATATGTTTAGGTATTTCATCCTTGTTTTGTGAGGACTGACAGTTTTTGATGTGAAGTTGCAGACTGAGCTGTCAGTCCTTGCTTGATAAAAAAAAAGAAAAGAACTTGACAGTGATAGAGTGAGGCAGCCTGTTCCTGGGGCAGGTTGGTTTTATGCTTCCATCTGACTCTGAATGTCATTGTAGCAACACTGATCTGTCAAATCTGTCCTAACTTGTGTCAATTCATCTTAACTGGTTTCATGTGAAACATGGTTTCAGTTGTTTTACACTTTGACTTAAAGGGATCCACGATTAGTTGTAACGTTAGACTTTATTTGATAAACATATATTTTAACTGTAAAATAAAGACCGTAAAAATACTGTAGGCTGTTTAGTTTTTATAATTTTTAAACTAAAAGTCTAAAAAATATTACACGGATGGAGCCATTTTACTTACATGCAAAGCATTCTGGGTAAATGATGATGTGGATAGGTCATCGGTGTGAGGCTGCTAGTGAGCTATATCCACCCTGAAGGTTAATCTTGGACAATATCTGATGATTGGCTTTTTTAAATGAAACCAGAGAGCGTTGACAGAGAGGAGAAGGTAGAAATGACTCAGCCTGTAACTGAAAATATAGATGGAGGACAACAGAGCTGCTTCATGGAAGAAGAACCTCAGCTTAGCCTATTAGCTTTAGCGTTAGCACCAATGCTATCACCATATATATGTATTAGCTCAGTGCTACACATTCTCCTCTCGTCACTGAGGTCCTCCATCCACATGACAGAGAGGGGAACACAAAAATAACTCAGCCTGCAACTGAAAATATGGATGGAGGACCTCAGTTTAGCTTGTTTCTTGTGCTAGCACTGAGCTAATATATATAGGGCAATATAGCATCTGCACTAGCGCAAAGGCTAACAGGCTAAGTTGAGGTTCTTCTTCCATGAAGCAGCTCTGTTGTCCTCCATYCATATTTTCAGTTACAGRCTGAGTCATTTCTACCTTCTCCTCTCTGTCAACGCTCTCTGGTTTCATTTAAAAGAGTCGATCATCAGATATTGTCCAAGATTAACCGTCAGGGTGGATATAGCTCACTCACACCGAGGACCTATCCATGCCATCATTTACCCAGAATGCTTTGTGTGTAAATAAAATGGCTCCATCAGTGTTAAAATATATTTTTAAAAATTTACAAAACTAAACAGCCTACAGTATTTTTACAGTCTTTATTTTACAGTTAAAATATATGTTTATCAAATAAAGTCTAATGTTACATGTGATCTAATCATGGATCACTTTAAGGAAATTTGTAGTTGTTTATATTATTTTATTTTATTTTTTGTTAAAACAACATATTAATTTTGTTTTCTAGTGTAGAAATGTGCAACTAAGTACAGTTTTTTTTCTTTCTCCAGAGAGACCCAGAATAATTGTGACACAGCCGGTTGTACTTGTACCTATCGGTGGTGATGCAACTCTGGAGTGTCAGGCGTCAGGTGTTCCTCCGCCTCTTGTTCACTGGTTCAAAGGTAATTAAGTGTTACCATCAAGTGTGAGGATGTCCTTCTCAGAAACCCACATTTTTTTTGTTTTTTCCTCCAGGTGAACTCGAGGTGGGCTCTGCTCCTTTTGTCGAGCAGGACGCACAACGGGGGACGCTGAAGATCCGAGGGGTGCAGGAGGTCGACGCCGGCCAGTATAACTGTGTGGCAAGCAGTTCTGCTGGGACCTTCACTGGCACCGTCAGTCTGGAGGTTGGGGGTAAGACAACGCTTCAGCATTCTGCACAAAGCTTGTTTCTCTCAAACTCGCACAAAGAAGAAAAAAATATCCATCTTGTGCTGCTTACACAAACACAGCAGCCCCATTGTTTCTGGAGGAGCCCGCTGACATGACGGCTAATGTAGGGGAGAATATCACCCTCCGCTGCGTCGCCCGAGGTTTACCGCCGCCGACTGTGACCTGGCGCAGAGAGAACGGTAGAGAGATTCCTGCAAGGACAACCAGCCACAGCAAGACAATGCACATGAAGAACGGGCAGCTTTTAATTCAGAGTAAGTTTTCTGTGAATCACTGTTACTGCAAAAACCCCGTTGCTTTCGGAGCAGACTCACACAGCTTCATGAATTACTTAAACTGACTGGCATGACTCAAACTGTCAAAGTGAGTATTTATAGACGAGAGACAGCCCTTCATATCGGATTCAGCTAACGTTTTCTTTGGAAAGAGTCACAACAGGAAGTCGGTGGAAGTGCTAAAATTACTATGTATGAATTTACTTTTTATGATATGAACGCATGAGTGGCATTTTTCTGAAATGCTGCAAAGGTTGATGTTTTGTTTGACTTCCCATCAAAGTAAAGTGAACATAAGTTAAAACCTTTCAGCCTGAAATCTTTCTAATCTTGGCCACTGGGATCCTTTGTGCTCCTGGGAGGAGGTGTTTAGAGTGTGTAATATAACACAGCTGAGGAATGGACATTTTAGCATGAGCTACTTCTGTCACTGTTTCCATTTGTGGCCACCGTCTGATCTAACTGATTCAATCTGCTGCACATGGCTTGACTTTGTACCTGTTATAGTTTTACATAATGCCTTTGTTCATGTTGTGAAACCCAAACGCACCAGCTATTGTCAATTACTCCTCATGTTTTACTTTAATGCGTCTCGACGTTACTTTTATGCTTCTAATGCTTATGTCGTTACCTATTATAATTACTCCCTGATTAGCTTCACAAAGGAATTGAATTATAGGTCAACCTTTGTGCATATGATGTCCTGGGAATTCACAGAGGGGGGAAATGTGTGTCAGCTGGCTAACAGCTGAGCCAAACACATTAATCTTGTGTTTTTCTATTTTTAAACCGGTGATTACAGAGCCGTCAACCCAATAATACCACTAGTTACTGAAGGAAGGGCTTAAATGCTATTAGCCGAGGCTCATTATTCAGCACAAGTTTTCATAGTGTGAGTGTAGAGTTTGTTTTATCTCTCATGGGCTGTATTTCCATTAACATATGTTTGACTGTAGGTGCCTGGCTGCAGGATGAAGGGTTATACATCTGCGAGGCTAAAAACCAGTTTGGAACCATAAAAGCTGAGGCCAGAGTTAGTGTCACTGGACTGGGTAAGCTTCTTGTACCCCCCACTGTGGACTAATTACCCTCATTTTCCATCTTGTGGTTAGTGTTTGTGTTTACATTTCTCCTGCAGAGCCCCCTCTCTTGGCCCAAGCAGCTCCAATCATGACCACTGTCATCGGGCAGTCTTTTAGCATCCCCTGCATGTTGCTGGACGGCATACCGCTTCCAGAAAGACACTGGTCTAAAAATGGACAACCTGTAAGCCTGTGACCGGTTCTAAACATATTCATTCCATAAATAATTTTTGTGTTTTGTTTTTAAGATTTCTTTTTCTTGAACAGGTTGCGCTCAATGGCAGGATGTTCTTAAGGAGTGATGGCAGTTTGTACATCGAAAGGACCGTTGCAGAAGACACAGGGATTTATGTCTGCACTGCAGAAAATGTAGCAGGCTCCACAAACATCACAATCAATGTGGAGGTTCAAGGTAGGAGACGAATGATAGCAGTTTAAAGCTCACTTGCACTGTTGCCAAGAAACACAGTTACATTTAGTTTAAACCTCCTCTCAGCAGACAATTACTTAGCTTAAAATGAAAAAGTGGGGCTTAATTTACGTTGGAAACCATAAGATATGGGCTATGTTTGAGGTCAGAAATAGGATCTTTTAGCACATTTCATTCTGTGTGTGCAGTCACACTCGACTAGTCTGCCTTTCAAAGAAATGTGGTTTAAAAACATTTGCATAACACAAACATATTTTTGTGGTTTGTATGCAAATCTAACACTTAAAAAAGCAAGAAAAACAATTTTCATTACTTCAACTTCCTGTATTTTACGTGTGATAGTAAAATTTTTAATCTTATATTGAGCTAAAATGTTTTTGAAAAAAAAATAAGTGACTTATTTACTGCTGAATCCAATTTTCTCAGCATTAGGTTTGCCCACAAAAACAATTTTGCTAAAAAAGGCTAAAAAAATCATGAAAAACCAAAATACCTGAATGATTCAAACATGTCATCACAGTGAAGAGGCCTGGCTGCCTGCATGCTTTGATGAATGAGGTGATTTTGTATAGTCGACAGATATTGACACACAGGTTCATCATCAGCTTGTAACAAAGACGCCATGTAATATTGATACTGCTGGCAGGTTTTAGTCAGCGATATTGATGCTGACAGCTCCTTCGTGGTCAGTCAGACAGCTGTTCTTTACAACCTGCTTCCTCCACAGTCCCCCCAGAGATCAGTCCTGGTCCATACCAGTACATAGCCAATGAGGGCACGGCCATAAGACTGTCATGTGAGGCCAGTGGAGTTCCCAAACCAGATGTTGTCTGGTCCAAGGTAAAGAAGTCACACCCCATAAACACGTGCATATTTATGAAATCGTACCACATTATTTATGTTTGGTTAGATTTAGTATTCTTTTAAATAATTCATTGTAAACTAGACAAGAGCATAAGATCAGAGGTTATATCTTCTAGTTTATTTGAAAAATATTAAACACAATTTTCAACAAGTCTAGACCTCAGTAATCTGTGATTTCACTAGATGTGACAGTACAAGTATTTCCTTAAATCAATGTATTAATTTAACATTTTTTCATTAATTACCTGAAAATTATTTCTCTCGAAACAACAATTAAAGTAAAATCTAATTTCCATCATGTTAAATGTATTATGGAATAATACTATTTCACATAAACAGCCCTGAAACCTCTAACAGTATATTATGATTGTGTTTACATAAGTGCTTTATTTTTTGTTGTATTCCTTTTCCCCCGTCCATCCTTTTCTTTTATTTGTAAGACCTCACTGGAAAACACCAACAATAGTTTGTGCTGCAGTCCATTGTTGATCCTCCTGAACAGGGAGGATGTAACCATGGCAACTTTACCCTGTTGCTACTTGGTTCTGTGAAATAACTCAGTGTTTCATTGTACCTCAGGGATCTATTTAAAACCTCTACTACAATGCTTCATGAGAGGAAAGTCTGAAAGGTTGTGTTGTGTCCAGACAGGGCCTGGGCCACTGAGCTCAATCATCACTGGATGCAAAACATGAACAGCATTTTATGTTATCACTATAAGTATCACACACTTTAATTCTCTGCATTTTTCCTTTGTCTTTGCCAAAAACATGACTGCTAAATGAAATAGCTAATATTATCTACAGCAGGGGCGCCCAAACATTTTCCCCAAGAGGGCCAAAATGAGAATCTATCTGGAGCTGTGGGCCAAATGCAGTAATATAATACATGAAATACAAATACTATTTTAGTAAAGTCCTTTATTTTGTAACAATTAAGCTAGCAGCCAGTGTGGTGGCCTGCTTTTGTTTTAGTCTGGGCACTTGGAGAAAGTCTGCCATATGCTCAAGTAGCAAAGGCTCATGGGAAATTTCATAAATTGATAAAATATGAATTTTCCTGGCCTTACAAAGTGTGCAAATCTACATGTGGGGTTAAATCTAATCTAAATATCACTTTTTACTTATATTTCACATTTCTTATTTAAATATGAAATGTGAAATATCATAATATGATAAATATATTAAGATTATTATTATTATTAATCAAAGATAAAGTCAGAATCATGAGTGAAAACTATCTGTACTACAGCCCCTTATATAGTCATTGGGCCAATGGATAAATTGACAAAGTGGAAATACTTTTTCTACATAGGACAACAGGTTACAGCCTAGTAACAATGGCAACTGCTGGTAGGTCAAATAAAATGGCTTGGTGGGCCAAATTTGGGCTGCGGGCCCCACTTTGGGCTCCTCTGATCTACTCTACAGGGATCATAGAAGTGTATGGCAAAGATTATGGAACCACATTAAAACCAGTGACTTGATTCTTTCAATGAAAAAATAAAGTAACAAAATGTATCAAAAATCTACAGTATATCATACATTGCTAAAAAGGTCAACAAGCTGCTAGTTCCTTTATTACAACAGAGAGACGACTCTCTGCGTTTCCCGCTTCCTCCACCAACATTTTCAGCAGCTACTCTTATGTAAAGGAAATTTATTTTCTTGTCAGATAAAAGTGAATCTGTAAAAGTAATTTTATGTTCAAAGCGAGTGCTTTCGCAGCAGGCTACATTCTTCTGTGTTTCCTGGATATTGCAGATAGAGAGCAATTCAACGGGGCGGCCTGTAATTACGTCTGACATCAAAGGCTGCACTGTAAACCTTAAACCGTATCTTCTGTCCACTGTTTCGGCTGCCGTTCTTCCAGGGTAGACAACCTCTGACCAGGGACCGCTCCTCTTTTAAACCCGACTCTGACGAGTACCTCCACATCGCCCATCCCACCGCTGACGATGCAGGGATCTACATCTGCACCGCCACCAGCCCTGTCGGCTACACGAGTCGAGAGATCCAGCTTAGTGTCAACAGTAAGATCAGGACATTGCTCCTAAATACATTTTAGTGTCAAACAATTTTCTGTGTAATGATGCTAGGAGCCAACATAGTTATTCAATAATGTTCCTTTTTTTGTTCAAGCTATCCCAAAGATAATGGGCGTGAGTGGCCATGACAACATTGTAGAGACGGCTGCTGAGGTGGGGACAGAAGTTGTTCTCCCCTGCGAGGTCCAGGGACACCCTTCTCCGTTCGTCACATGGAGCCGAAATGGACAGCCCATCCCCCCTGTCACAGCTGGGTAAGAGGATGTCCTCTCCATCAATTTATGTGCTTTAAAAATGAAACATTAAGTGGAAAATGGCAAAAGATTTCACCTTTACCGTACAGCTAACAGAGCTACTACGTACATGCCCCTCCGGCTGAGGTTGGCTGATATTCCTTTGTAGATATTTAAGTTTCATTTTCATGCCGCTTGAAGAGCAGCTAGACAGAGGCAGCAACAGTCTGCTGAAAAGCTGTGCGTAGGCTTCACCCATAGTCTAAACTGAGGAGAAACATCTGGCTCCACATGGCCTGAAACCTTACTTTCATGTGTGGTCACCCAAGGTGCAGACAGGCTGGTTGATTTGAGACACGTTGGATGAATGACAGACAAACTTTCATGGCCAGACACCATACAGAGTGGTTTAGGGTGAAAATAAAAAATAAAAAAAATAAAAAAAATGAACGACAAGAGAGCTGAAGGCGATGGTGACTCACTGTATGGCCTTTTTGTGGGGTCTGTGAGAAGGAAATCGTGGGGGCGGAGTGGGGGCATGCTGGGAAGAGAGGGGAGGAATATGAACCGATAGAAAAAAAAGAAAACCAAGCCCCGTCTGCTTCATGTTTGAATTCCCTGGAGTCTTTCAGCAGTAAAACAACATGCTGATCCTTTACCAGTCATGTCTGATGAGAATAACACATCTCTGTGAACAACCCCCACATCCCATGCTTTGCATATGCAGGACCTGTGGAAACAAGCAGACAGGGTAAAGATTTGTTCTCTCAACTACACTTTGTGGGTCAGGGGAAATGAGCAAGGAGCGCACCGGTTGTTGAAATAAGTTGAATGAGTGGGCAGTGAGACTTCTTCTATAAGCGTGTACTCAGGCTTGTACTTGGGAGAAAGAAAAAGAAAAAAAAATGGTAGGCGAGGTTCAGTGAATGCACAAAGATGTTCAACACTGTCTCAGAAGATGTGTTCATTTTCTACCCAATGCTGATGAGGCCAATTTGTCCCGGTTAGTCTTTGCGTCAGACTGTGTACACAGATGACCTGACACCAGTGTGGGGAGTGATGGATTAGCGCACGGGCTGCTTGAAGGCCAATGTGTTGGAGCTGCAGTCTGAGCACCGGCTGACTGCTGCACAGGAAGTCATTTGGTTGTAAAGCTGAATGCTGCTGCCTCTCCTACGTTTGTTACAGGAGGTGGGGGAGAGATATTACACAATACGCGCCATAGAAACAGAGAGCTCTTTGTGCTGCCAGCTGGTTTCCACTTACACTAACATGTTATTGTTATAATTGAGCTGCTCAGCAGACAGACTTATCTAAGATGAATTACAGAGGTGTGTTTACTTTTCTGTATATTATGCAGCTACACAGCTTCGTATGTATTCCAAATGACCACTAAGTCCTTTAGCATCACTGACCTACATCAGCCTCTTTACCACAGAGTCTTTATGCATGTCTGTTTTTGACAACCACCCCGAGTGTTTTTCCAAAGGTTTTGCTTTCCAAACTTATTTCTTAGTTTTTACAAAGAGACAAAACATCAATTATGGAGAGCTGCATGACTTTGCAATGCAGTCTCATTGTTAAGCCGACCTTTTGATTTTCAAATCATTTGTATTTCCTGACCTCTGTGTGATAAACAGCAGTTTGCTGCATTTATTATTCTTCACAACAGGAAGAAACATATTGAGCTTTATCTGGGCTCTTTTCCACACTGTGATTATCACGTCAGAGTTAGTAGCTCCCCGGGGAAGGTTACTAGGATCTGATAAAGATACGGACTTTAGTTGCTGAAAACTGTCAGCTCTCAAGGATCTATTCTTGTTCACTGCAGCTAAGTAATGCCATGGAACAAAGTACCAGATGCTCATACACTCATAACAAGTTCTATCATTTTTATTTTAGTATATGAACTCAGCCAATGACATTTAAAAGTAAAAAAAAAAAACATCTTGAGATCTACTACTATTAAAGTTAACATTAAAATATAAAGGGACATTCATGTACAGTGTTACTGGCTGACCAATGCTGTGGTTTCTTCAAAATAAATACCACATGTAGGAGATAACCAAGAAAGGTTTTTAAAAAGGTAAAACCTATTTTTTCTTAAGCAGTGGTTCTTTATCTGCAGTGACTTACTGTATACGATATATTCTCCATTTTTTAATTCTTTTTTCTGTCAATTCCTCCTCAGGTTCACTGTTTTGGCTTCAGGCTCCCTGAGAATCACTGATGTGCGTCTGATTGATAGTAAACTGTACACCTGCACTGCAGAGAACCCAGCAGGCAACGTGTCTCTGAGCTACAATTTACACGTCCAAGGTAACTCAATAGGGCTTTTATTTGAAAGTTGAACTTCTATAAAGCTCGAAGTGCTTTGTTTTTTACCTCAATATGATGTGTTGTTGACAAATTCTGATTCTATTATTTAACATGCTGTATATAAATCAGTAAAGAAGAAGGCATATAACTGAATTATATTCCCTTGAACTAAATTTTTCCACTCTTAGTTAAGCCCAGGATTCAGCCAGCACCCTCCATCCTGAAAGCCCTGCTTGGACAAACAGTGACTCTGCCTTGTGTGGTCCAGGGAGAGCCGAGGCCCGAGATCAGCTGGTTTCACAACGGACAGCCTGTTGGCAAAAAGAACTCTACACCCCTAAAGATCCAGCGGGTCAGCCTCACAGACCAGGGCACCTACCAGTGTGTGGCCAGAAATAGTGCCGGGCTGGAGAAGCTAGAAATTAAACTGGAAATTCTTGGTAAATATTACAATTTCAGATCTTCACACTCTGTCGTTTAAAAAGAGTATTTGGACTCTTTCTTATACTTTTAAGACTGCTCTGCTCAAAATCCTCATTAGCTTCTAATGCTGGGGGTGGATAAGGGACCTGGGTAAGTATTAATTGTAAGTGTTGCTCCTTAAAGGCACACTTGGAAGCAGAGGGAAAAAGCCGTCTGTCATGAAGAGTGAGTGGTGTGATTTTTCAAAGAAGGAACTAAAACACATTTTCAGGCAGCTTTGGAAAAAAAAGGAGCATTGCATTGAGTCTGGACCTAGCCTGTGGTGGTAAACCTTTTTTTTTTTAGAGCTTTTCAACCTTTTTTCAAGCTCCTGTGAATGAAGATAAGTAGAATACTGTATTTCTTCTTCAATCCTTCCAGTTTCAATCAGCTTGCATTAAGGTCTAAATTTTTCTGTTTCAAGTCTTGTTCCCGTCAGACATGGGGCATCTCAGGGATCTATTTATGGTCATCTCTTAATTACTTTATGCATAAATAGATTTGTTCCATCCTGTCAAACTACTCTTCAGATTTACATTAGTCCTGTTCCTCTCCAGCTTAGTTTATCGTCCGTCTTTTTTTATATTGTACCTTTTCATATCTCACCTTAAATACAGTATAATCTATGATAAGTGTATCTATAAACTGTGGCAGAACTAGCATGAAATCTTTTAATCAAATGAGTGATTTTCTATCATTTTTCCTGTAGATTTGACCTGACACTTGACATGTCTGTCTGTCCTCACAGAGGCCCCGTCCTTCGCAGAACCTGCCGACGCCATCATGGAGAAAGTAGTGAACAGCAAGGTCATCATCCCTTGTCGAGCTGAAGGTATGAAATGAGTCATAGATGAGTCAGCGTGGATGAAACTAAGAGGATTTTAAGTTCATTTAAAAGTTCAGCATCATCTTGCAGCAGTAGGTTATAACATGAGTAGAGCTTCCTGTTTTATCAAAGCACACAACGGTAGGTGCAGGTCTGTGGGTGTGCTGTGATACTCAGTGACAGCAAACATTTAAAGTGTTATTTAAAGTGGATGTTATGTCTTTTTTTTCCCAGGCACTTAGTCCAATTCTATACCACAATCAAGTAACTATATTACCTTCAGTTGTTGTGAAAATGTTGTTTATATCAAAAATATATTTGATTTTGCATCATCTAAACACCTTAAATTTGCCCTCTGCCTCTTTAAGAACTTCCTACCATTTCAGACACTCCCACTTCAGCATGTGCTCTGTGGAGCGGGAGCTCAGCTGCAGACTCAGCTCTAGGGAGGAGCTAGGTACGAATAGGCGGTGCTTTGTACCAGCAAGTGTTTAGGCAGCTCCACATGGCCACAGGAGATTCAAGGATTTCTCAAACATGCATGAATGAGTCAGAGCAACACTCGGGGTATGTTTTTGATGAGGAAATGACATTATAACATGATATAAAGCTAAAAAAAAAGTCAATTTTGCATACCCCCCTTTAATGTTGGTGAAGCTGTGCCATGGTAACCAGCTCAATGCGAGAAGGTGAGGACTGTGTCTAATGTGGAGCAACAGCTGGAACATCGGTCTGCCTGCTGCCTCAGTGAGCCACATCTGCTTTCCTCCGCACCGCGGCCTGCTGGGAGAGGAATCCTAATTACAGGCTGCTGCTGGCAGATAAAGGACAGAGATGTCTGAGTTGCACCGTGAAGCGGAGGAAGAGGTGGATGAAGCCAAACTAGTGTTCCTTGCATACAGGCGGGCAGACAGCAGCATGCTTTTATGGGGCTCATGCAGATTGCCTTGATGCTCTTGACACCCAGGACAGGCAGTCAATAGCAGGAAACAAGGATCTCTGCACTGTGCTCTCAAGAGCTTTTTATATGAGCGAGTTAATGCACGTCTTTGCCAGAAGCATATTATTATTTCACCAACAAGCCTACTGCACCGATGTACTGTAGGTAATTATTTGAGAAACGCACGGAAAATAAAATCCCAAGTAAAAACGTCAGTCTACTAATGAAATCTGTTAGCTTCTAAAACAGAACATCTGCATGTGTTTCCTCCCAGCAATGACATAATAAATTTGCTTCAGTGCTCCTAAACTGTAAGCATGTGTTCAGAGGAGCAACACATGATAACATCACTTATGGTGTCCTGTGGTTAGTGAGTTATGGATTAGTGACAAGTGCTGTGTTGACTTCCCACCTCATTTGTGGGGTTTGTATGCAACACCTCTGGAAATAGACTGAGTCGTGTTTCCCTCCAGTGGGCTGCTCCATCATGGTGACTCAGTGCGATGTGTTGGGTACAAAAACTTTCACATTTTTCCCATTCCACCTTCCTCTCTTTCAGTAATCCACAAAGCACATCTGTTCCAGGCGTCTGAGTTAAAGCACTTTTTCCTTTGAACTGCACATATTCTTGCAGCTTTAAACTCTTGTTTCAGTGTTTGGTAATAAATCTAGAGTACTGTTTTAAAGATTTCATTTAACTTTGCTCCAGAATGTGTTCTTTTTTATCTTTAATATGACTCTGACCTTGGCATCTTATGCCTGCAGGATACAAGAACTTTAACTGTTTTGGCAGTCTTGCCTGCTGTCCAGCAGATAAATCGAGTGCTGGCATTTTCTGAGTCTGGGCTGCTTGCCCAAAAAGTTTGTCTGTAGAAAATCAGAGAGATGGAAGTCGCTTTTCTTTGTCGTCTGACACGACCAATAAAGTTTGGCTTGGCCTCACTCAAAATCCTTTTCTTTCCCATACATCATCTGCAGGTTCACCTCGTCCCAAGGTACGATGGTTCAAGAATGGCTTGGAGATTCACCCCGAACAATCAGAGCTCTCTGTGGCGAGAGACGGAGCTCTTGTAATTAGCACAGCATCTGCCAGCCACAGCGGAGACTTCAAATGTGTGGCAACCAATGAGGCGGGCTCTGTGGAGAGAAAGACTAGGCTAAAAGTAAACGGTGAGGATTTATTTATAGCTCCTTCGCTACTTTCCCTTCTGATAACAACACACATTTTTCATCGTAATGACACAAATTCCTGCTTTTGTGTCCTACTTTAGTTCCCCCAGAGATCCAAGATGATGGCCAGCCACTAAACCTCACTGTCACCCTGAAGCAGCCTCTCACTCTGGGCTGTGATGCTTTTGGCATCCCTTCTCCATCAATAACCTGGACTAAAGATGGTCATCCGGTGAGTGAGTCACCGTCATGCAGATCATTTGGATCTCTAGCTGTGTGATGCCACCAAGTAGCTTTAAATTCTTTAACAGTAAAAACCAATGCCTCACAGAGTTGATCACTGTATGCAGGTGGACAGCCCTGGGGTGTATCTGGAGAATGCCAACAGGCTGCTCAGGATCTACAGAGTTCAGCCGGAACATGCAGGACAGTTTTCGTGCACAGCTCAAAACTCAGCCGGAAAGACGAGAAGGGAATACAACATAGCGGTGCAAGGTGAGCTTATAAACCCACTGTCAAGCTGGTATTTGTACAAGAAAGGTAAGGGACAGAATAAAAATAATGTCCTTTATTACACTAAAAAGAGAAAATATTAAAAACTGCACATTAAAGGGATCCCCAATTAGTTGTAACATTAGTCTTTATTTGATAAACATATATTTAACTGTAAAATAAAGACTGTAAAAACACTGTAGGCTGTTTAGTTTTTATAATTTTTAAAAATATATTTTAACACAGACGGAGCCATTTTATTTACACACAAAGCATTCTGGGTAAATGATGACATGGATAGGTCCTCGGTGTGAGCGAGCTATATCCACCCTGAAGGTTAATCT